GATGCATTGGATAATCCACCCCCAGTTTCTCTCTTGGAACTGGGTTTGACTTGGTTGTCCGACCGGGTTATCCTTAAGAATATTAGCGTAATATCCTCCAGGAACTTCCCGTCAATGGTAGGAAAAGCAGTTTATACTTGTATACTCTTCGGAGTATTGAGAAGCAGTTTATACTCGTATACTTTTTGGAGTGTTGAGAAGCAGTTTATACTCGTATACTCTTCGGAGTGTTGAGAAGCAGTTTATACTCGTATACTCTTCGGAGTGTTGAGAAGCAGTTTATACTCGTATACTCTTCGGAGGATTGAGAAGCAGTTTATACTCGTATACTCTTCGGAGTGTTGAGAAGCAGTTTATACTCGTATACTCTGTCGGAGTCTTGCCGTTCTCAAATGGCTTACCCTAGCGTTATAACGCCGGCTTCAATCAGGATTTGGATGCTGTTCTTTAAAGTAAAGCACGCCTTGGTGGGATGAAGGATCCTCCTGTGATATGCGCAGTACTTCGGATCCGCAGTATTGTCAGCTTCCTCCTGATTGACGATAGGTGGTAGCTTGATCTTGTTGTTTTCAAGGAGGGATTCGAAGATGACTGGAATGTCTTCGTCCTTGAAGGAATACTCTTTTTGGAGTTTTGGTTCCGAAGTCTTTTGCTGCCTTCGGGATTGCTGTTGTGACCTTGATTGTTGAGGCGTCTTTTGTTGCCGCTGTTGTGGTTGCGCTTGCACCTCGAATGTTTGATTCGCGTCCACAGCATTCGCATGTGCTTTTCCCTTACCCTTAGGGACAAAGTTCTGTTGCGGAGCGTTATTTGCTATTTGGCCCCTTTCTGCCTTCTTCCTCTTAAGGAAGGTCTTTGGTGGCGCCATTCCCATAGCTTCGAGGATGTCCAATGAAAGATTGTTATGACAGGTCTCGAGGATGAAATCTTCGCTGACCGGATCCCTGCAATTCATTGCTTTATTTCGGAACCTCTTCACGAAATTTTTGACCGTTTCACCATTCTTCTGTTTCTCATCAAATAGTGTGCCGATTGAAATCTCGGTATCGTCGTCGAAGAAGTTTGTCAGAAACATGTCCTCCATGTCATCCCAACTGCTAATACTCCCTGGCTTGAGGCGACGATACCAATCGAAGGCTGCTCCGCGAAGAGTGCCGACGAATGACCGTATCATTAAGGGTTCATTCCCGGAGATTATTCCTAAGTGAGACTTAAAATATATTAAGTGTTGGGTAGGGGAACCCTTTCCATCAAACGGCGTAAAGTTGATTAAATTGAACTTTGCCGGATATGGAATTGATTCCCACTCCCTTGGGTATGGACATGGTATGCCGGACCTCTTCACTTCTTGAGCATTCATCAACGCGTTGATTTTGCTCTCCAAGTCCTTCATCTTCTTATCTTCACTCGTATCTGTCTTCGAGTGGCTTCGGGGAGAGGTAACGTGGTCCTCTTTTGCATTATCATCCACGGGACCGCTTCCATTGTCGTTGTTGACAGGAGGGATATTTATGTTGACATTATCCTCTTCCCGTTCATTCTCCTCTTGATTCGGATTATTGCGACGACTGGGTTCTCCTTGGTGAGTTGTCAGTGCCGCGATTTGCTGGTCATGCATCTCTCTCATCTGCTGCATGGCCATCTCCATCTCGAACTTGAAACTTTCCTTCTACTTAGTCAGGGCATCTTCAAGCATCTTGGTTACTTGCTCGGCGCTGATCATGAATGACTCGTAGGGTTGTTGTCCCGCACTAGACGCCGTGTCATCGGATGCTATAGCCGAGTAGGAGTCTGAATCAGCATCTGACGCCTCCTCTTCCGAAGAAAGTCCCTTTTGCATCATTTGGTAGTTCTTCCGCCTATTGATCCCTGACCGCAATCGAGTCATGCGCTGGGATGCTTCGGCAAGTTGATCTGAGCTAGAGGGTCGTGTCGATTTGCCTCTGCCGGTCATATTAACAGACACTTCTAGGAATTCATCCTCTTGGCGAACGAACTTCTTCCCACGGAGACTCTCTTTGGGGTTTTAGAACAGCAGCATTCTGACAACACCGCCCTGATGATGTTGGCACACGGACAGTGAGGTTCCGTGTCTTGAGCATCTCTCTTTCGAGACTTACTCGCACCCCCAGCTCTATAGTACAACTCATCAGTTTGATAACTGGAGCAACCCATAGAATGTTGGCATGACTTCCCAGGTATAACACAATCATCATCAGACGAATGTGTTTCCCTCCGGGGATATGACGCTTTGTTAGCGTTTTCAAAAGTCGCTCGTTCAAGTCTACGCTTTTGCGAGCGTAAAAACTTAACGGGCTCCTGAACTTCGACACGCAACCCAATGCGGTCAGTAACATGGGCTTTCCCTTTGTTATCTTTTTTGGAGGGATTAACATGACCCCCAGTCTGGTTCGTCATTTGGGGACCTTTCAACGGACCCAATCGCTCCTTGACAGGTGCTTTACCTCGGTTCTCCGGTAAGGGACCGAGGCGACCTTTCAAAGGAACCCTGGATCCTGAAGGATCCATGTTCTTACCTGACTCCGCCGGAGGTGCGGGGGCAAGGGGGACAGGATCTGATGAAGGTTGGACGGCAATTCCGTCCACTCTCGTCTTAGACGCCGGCTTTGTCTTTAGCACCCACACCTGCTTGTGTTTTGACGGATGCTTGACCGTCTCCTCTTTCTGCATCTCTTCCGCTTTCTGCAGAAGGACTCGGGCATGCGCAAGCAATGCGCGACGCTTCTTGATTCTCTCTTCGAGGGTTGAGCGAGTCCTCGTGACACGAACCCATTCGTTCGTTTCTGCCTTGGAGGAGGAGTTGGTTATGCGCCGTTGTTGCTCTTGGCGCTGTCTGGACTTTAGATCTTCATTGTAGCGGATCCCGTCCATCGATTCTGCAGCTTTGGCCAGTTGTCGTGCAAGGCCTTGGAGCCGTCTTTGGCGCGCCCTCTTCGACGGAGCCGGAGCAACTTCAGCAGTCGCCTTTGTGGCGGGAGGGAGATCTGGATCTGCAGCCTCGACCTCTTTGGATGCTGCCGGGATGTCACGGGGCACGGGTGCAGCAGCGGCGATGGGATCTTGGATCTTTGAGCCGAAGGTCCCGCGAACATTTCTGGAAGAGGATGCCTTCATGCGCCTGTTCGGAGAGGCGGATCTGGAGGAGGAGGAAGAGAGGTACTCTTCAAACTTCTGTTGATCGAACTCGTATTCGATCTCTTCGTTCACCCGGATCTTGAATGCCGGTTGCGTCACGACATCCTCGGCAGCGAGGCTGTTGGCTCCCACTGTGGTCGCCAGCTTGTTTTCGAGGAAAGTTGCCTTCATCATTGATTTCATTAAACTTTAGTCGTTACAAATGAATTCAAATAACGAAAATAAAAAAATTACAACTTTCTTGAAAATAAACACAAGATCCGTTCGTCGTTTCTTGCTTGCGTGGGTCTTTGGCCTGTGACAGGGACGTCGATATCCGTGGACTGCCTGGCAATCAGATCTGATCCAACAAAATTGGGCAGAGCTTCGTCGATCCGCGAGGAGATCTAGAAGCTTGAAGCGCCTATCTCGGCTAAAACGAGATATTTGCTCTTCTTAGGATTACTGGCGAAGGGTAATGCTAAGGAACGGACACGGGTGATAAAGACCTCTCTTGCGTTGAAGCGCTCGACCACTCTTCACTGCAGCAGGGCTTCGCCAACTCTCCAAAAATCCAGATTTTCAAAAAGTGAGGCCTAAGGCTCCTATTTATAGGCAAGAGGGGGTACAGGGCGTCGGGACACCCCTGGGGTGTTTCGACTTTCCCGAGACTCCCCAATCCAGATCCTCCAAAAGTGAGGCCTAAGGTTCCTATTTATAGGCATGAGGGCACATAGGGCGTTGGGACACCCCTGGGGTGTTTCGACTTTCCCGAGACACCCCGGGTGTCCCAGTTCAGCCTGAGACGCTCCGTTGCGTATGTTTGATTGTTTCCGCCGTAAATTCTTCGTCCGAACTCGGATTTGAGTGATTCCAAGTGCGTTGGAAGCTTGACGAAGAGTTCCATCCGTTCCGATGGTTGGATTATCTATAGAGTGACCGAGATATGAAGGGCATTGTTCTTTTTGTGAACCTCGCCGGGTTCCCGATTGGCCCGTGCCTTCGTTATTCCGAAGTTCTATCAGCTCACGTAGTTCGTCGATTCACTTCAATCGTTCATCGACGTCAATCGAACTCCTGTGGATCGGATAGTGACGTTCATCGTTGCTCTCTAATACTGAACTGTTCGTGGAGACCTATAGGCAATTTTCGATGCCTACAGTGACCCACACTTAAGAAAAGTGTTTTCACAACTTTTTGGGATAAAAAACAAAGAAATGAAATGTTAATGAGATGAGGTGAATTGTTATAATATTTTATTGGATGATATGAGTGATTTGAAATGATGAGAAGATATGAGTTGAGTGATGTTTGGATGAAAATAATATTTTATTAGATGTGATGGATGAGTGGTTAGATGAAAATAATATTTTATTAGATGATGTGGATGAGTCGTTGGATGAAAATAATATTTTATTGGATGTTGTAGGTGAGTTTTAGGGATGAAAATGGAGGAAATAGTACTTTTTGAGATTTTCGTCTTTTCCATTTCCATTTCTTGGTTTTTAGGAAATAACCGAACAGACCCTAAAGAAACACAAAAGCCATTTGCTAATGTGTATGTTAAGCACTAACCCAGTTATGACTAGTCAATTCAACGGAGAAAAAAAAAGACTTAATTGATGTGACTCACAGAATTCGAGTAACTAAAGCTTCAAATATGTGTGAAACTAATATCAAACTATGTATGATTTAATTGACCCATACCTGAAAAATCATTTTAAAGCTTTGAGGGTACGTAGGTATATGAAAATGAATGCCATTTCTTTGTAATATTTCACGTATTAAAGTTATTGAGTCGTTACCACGATACATATATGCTTTTGCACAAGATCTATTATACAATTTATTGATGACATAGATTAATATTAAACTTCAAACACCTTTTTATTCCAAATCAAAGTTTCAAACTTGCCTTCATGCATGCATTCTTCCAAACAAGCATATATGCATGATATAGACCATATATTGCCATAGCTTTATTTGTGACATATATATTAGACACAAAGTGTCGAACTTATTCAAATACATCACCATCTCCTACTTAGTTCAAGGGAGGGAAGTCATAAACCGGCTTCAAATCAGTACGGAACATCCCAAAGTTCTTCCACAATCCCTCCCTCATATCCTCATTAAACATCGCATACACATAAGTCTCAATTTGCCCACCCGGCCTCAACGTAGTCCCATTCTTCGACAAAACATGCTTCGACAAATCCCAAACATACTTCTTCGCATGCCGAACGCTAGCAATCTCCTCATCTCCAGCCGAAGGCCAGCCAGTCTCCCCGACAGCGATCTTAACCTTCTCTCCTCCCTCGATCTTTTGTATAGCCGAGTAAAAAACATCGATGATCGAGAAGAATATGTTCATTGGATCGGTGGAATCAAAGTTGTTGTTAACGTTAGGGTTCTCATGTTTGTTTGAGAGGTAGTAAATGTGAGGGTAGTTTACTATGAAGAGAGGGGAGTTGTGAGATGAGAGGAAATTGATTATTGGTTGCATGTAAATGCCTGATTTTGGAGTGGATTTGAATGAGCCTTGGGTTGCAGAGATGCTGTAGTCGTTGTTGAGCACGCTTGGGTTCACTTCGGTTGTGATCTTGATTTTGTGTTGGAGACCGTGGTTTGTTACTGTGGTGTGCAAGTTGGTCATTGCTTGTAGCACATCCTACAAGTCACCGAAATCCTTGTTAGCAGAAGTTGAAGAAATTAGAAATTTTTATAGAATTATAAAATTAGACATAGACTAGCAATTTGTAACTTATTACCCCTCTAATTTGACTTTTCCACTTGCTAATTTCGCCCAAGGGTTAATATCTATCAAAATTTCACGCAATGTAGAAGTGTCTATTTAAGAATTCCATAAAGCGAGGATGTATTTGTCTTGAATCAAACTATTAGAACAATAAGTTTCAAGACGCGATGTGCGATTAACAAAGAAAAATATACTACATTGTTGTAAGAGTTTAATTATAATTGATTTTCCGACGTAAATTTTCGTCATACATAAATTTCATAGTGTACCTAAAATTTTCGACTCGATTAGTCTTGCTATGAAAATAATAAACAAATAAATTATTCGGATTTTTTTAAATTAGTTAATTAGGTAAATGTTTAAACTGTTTAGTTGTTCATATCTAAATTAAATGGCAATTTTTGTCATTGAAAACATTTCTATACCGACAGCTAGCTAACATCGACACTCTCTACATACATAGAATAATTATTTTCCTCCTTATAAATTAATAAAGATTGTAGAAAAATGAAACTATTCACCTCTGCCGAGTTCTCGTTGATCACGCCGTCATGCCCAACGACAATGTTACGGAACCGCACACGGCCAACGTACGGTTGGATGTTGCTACCGAACCATGACTCAGCCGCTTTAAGATCCGCAGCGACGCCGTGGACCTCGTGATTCGGGATCCCCACGGTGAGCTGAACGTTGGATCCGCTGAGGGCTCGAAAGATCTTGTGATCGGGCGCGTAGATCCTCATCCGTCCGATCTTGTAGATATCGCACAAACGGACGGTTTGCTCAGGTGGTGGGAGGTTGTCGCCCAAGCGACCGTAGCACACTCCAAGATTTTTGGCATCTGCGTTAATATTGTAATCGCTCTTATATATTATAATAGCACATGTGCAATTATTATACTCGAAAATGTACATTTTTCAATTGCTTGGATGGTTGTTAATTATCTTGATCCGCTGAACTTTTGAAAAATCTATAAACGAATCTTCATACTGGTCTAAAAAGTCATAAACTTTTCGATCCATATCCTAGAATCTTTCCCATATTAGACCCTAAATTCTATCCGATTTTTATATTAGGCCCCTAAATGATCCAATTTGTAATTCACCTCACCGGATCCGCAAAGTTGTTCTAACATCCTAATTTTTGTAATTCACATCCTCAAATTAAATATTTTGCCAAGGGAGACGGTACGAAACATAGCCTTTAAAGCCCAACAATATTAATTGACAAAAGAGGCTTCAAGAATGTCTGGCCCAGCCCATCTTCTCCATTTACATACCTGTTCCATTGAGTTGGGAGTTGAGCAAGGCAGCCCAGGCGAACAAATAGAGAACGTAAAGCAGGCCCATCTGCGCAACAATGTTGACAGTGATCAAAGGCCTAATTAGGAGAAAAAAATTGAAGGAAAATAAGCGAAAATAAAACCTCTAAGAAGCTTGCCGATGACAAATAGGAAGAAGCAAAAATGAGCATGCAAAGCTCATACGAGAGCTGCCAGTTATATACAACAACAGTTGTTTGCCTACAGGGAACGATCTCTTTCGCCACCCTGGTTCATGCCGTTGACATGGCGTGGCCCTTGGAAGTTTCCAACAGCTTTTTGTTGAGAGAGAAACTAAAGCTCGTTTCTTGAGCAAAGCAACTGATTCCGATTGAAGAGATGTAGATGACTCGCTCAAAGTTTTCCAGTCATTCACAAATTGTGTTGAGTAACAAACTAGTGTAATCCGAAAGTTATCCGCGAATTCTAGTTTCACAAATCTTTGAGGCGGCATTGGTACCAACATCTACACAAACCTTCCAATTAACACCTTTTTTTGTTTTTTGTTTTTGTTTTATTATTATTATTATTATTATTATTATTATTATTATTATTATTATTATTATTATTATTATTATTATTATTATTATTATTATTATTATTATTATTATTATTATTATATTTTATTTTATTTTAGTTAAAGTAAAAAAAAGAAAACCAAAAGGAATTAAACATGTGATGATGACAAGCGGGCAACAAGCTGCGCCGGTAATCCTTTCTGAATTGCAAAACCCAACCTACGAAACACGTACTCAGCGGACCCTGCTGTCGCCACATTCTTATTCATGAATTTCTGTACCCTCCTGAGGAACTCCGCTACATCAGCTGCAAGGAAACCAAACGTATCGAAAGCGAACAGGATGAAGCTGTGGTAGTTGTCCTTACAAGCTTGATCATGTTTGCCCACCTTTGCCTCTGTTGCTCTATCCGCTGCATGCCCAACCTTGAACTCTCCATTACCAAACCCCACCAACGGAGACACCCCTGTGAGATCAACACAAGCGTGCTCCCCCCTCCCCCCGGCTCCAACTGTAGACAAGAATGTCCGCCGGCCTTAGAGTAGATCTAGCATCTCTAGGAGGAATGAGGAAGTTGACCGGCGCTTCCTTCTTTAACGGGATCCCTGCTCTTTAGAGGATATCATACAAGACATCTCTGACTAAGTCGTGCCTGTACTTGAACCCCGGCTGCTTCTGACATTAGATGACATGCTCTCCAAAGACATCCATCTGCGTTCTACGACAAACTGGGCACACTATACCCTCCATGAACAAAGGAACCAACAACCTGTACTTGAGGATGGGTTCGTACTCCCCCGGAATCATACGCTACCACAATCCCTCAATAGGCGTGGCCAACAAGAAATATTGGACGTGCTTTGCGCGCAGGCACTCAACAATCACAACCTGCCTCTCTGAAAGGCCAAACTCCGTCGATAGATCTCTACAAACGCCACCATAAAATTTTTTATTTTTTGGGTTGGGGTTTGTATGTGGGGGGATTTAACTTCCAATAATTCGACTTCAATCATTTATCATTTTTATGAGTGAAATAGCAATTGCTCCCTGTGTTTTATTCATTTAAGAATCTAATGAAACAACTGAAAATGTACGAGTAGCACTACGTACAAACAGAGGTGACCACATATAAATATAAGGCCCTAGTCACTTCTCGTTTATAGCTAATCAGATAAATTCCCTTACTTGTCACGAGGCAACGAAGTCATCCGTCGTTAAAAAAAATGATAATTAAATTATATTCCGAAATCGTATAGTTATGACGCGAGGCAAGAGAAATTTGATTTCACCAGAGTTCCTCTTACTACGCGTCACAGAGGCAACGAAGTCCTCCATCGATATGTAAGAAAGTGATAAATATAAATATAATCCAGGATTGTACAATTGTGACTCGAGGCGGGAGAATTTTGATTTCACCCGAAGTACCGAGAATTGTTCATCGTTGTAGCTACGCTCACGCTTCTACCTACCAATGGTCCTACAAACACAATTACAAGCTATACAAACCGAAATCCAAACCGGCCCCCAGACGAGCACATTCTCGACCACAAGCATCACAGGCGGAGGCAGCACCCGAATAAAATTCCTCGGCGATAGTAACAACACCATCTCGAACACTACCAAGCCCATTATCAAGCCCAATATCGCCCTCTCACTAATCACAGCATAGAGCCCAAGCCACCACCTCTGCTTCCTATCTCTGAACAAAAGCTCCGGCATCACCCATACCGCCGTCGACCCGCTATGGTGAACGCAACGCAATCTCCCTCTCCCTCCCTCTTCGTCGATCTCGAACGACCCGAACGAGTCGTCGCCTGCGGTGTAGACGCAAACCCCAGAAGCCCCGGTCGACATGGACATAGACCCTCTTTGTCCGAGGAAAAACACTCTCCCGTCGAGTGAATTCCCTGCGTCGGTCCACGTCCATGTGATCGGATCAAGAACCAGGGCTCTGAGTGAGGACACACTGCGATTGTGACGGTGGCATCTGGCGATAATTGTCACGAGTTTCGCGTCGCACTCGGAGGAAAAACACTCTCCCGTCGAGTGAATTCCCTGCGTCGGTCCACGTCCATGTGATCGGATCAAGAACCAGGGCTCTGAGTGAGGACACACTGCGATTGTGACGGTGGCATCTGGCGATAATTGTCACGAGTTTCGCGTCGCACTCGCCCGTTGTGGAATCCGATTGATGTCCATTTGCAGCCGCCGTGTCGGAGACAGTAGAGAGTGTGAGGGTAGAATATCACAGCGGCGAATTCGACGGTGTTCGGATTTGATAATGCTACTAACGGCACTTTGTAGCTGAATGCTTGCTCCAAGGGGTCTTCTTCAATATAGGGGAGTTTTATGTTTTTGAGAGTGAAGGGGTTGAAGAGATGCAGGCTTCGGCCTCGCATTACGAGCCAGCTCCCAGAGGAGCCGAGGCAAGTCTCGGCGAAGAGCTCGGAGAGGGAGAATTTGTATCGGAGGTTGTTGACAGGGCTGAGGAAGAGCGGCGGTGGCTGAAGGAGAGAGGGGGATGGCATAGGAGAGTGGAATTGGGGACAGTGTTGAACGTTGTGGCGACTGGCAAAGCGTAGGGATCGCCATTGGCGACAAACGCCGGCGAACTTGAGGTTTTCGATGGGGCCGAGGCGACGGAGGATCGACTCGAGGATGTCAATGCCGGGACTGGACCAATCTGGCCCTTTTTGGGCTTCTTCTCCTTCGTCGAGTTTGGCCTCTGGTACGGTAATTACCCAACCGTTTGGCGGATTCTCCATGCCTTGGGTCAACTTGACTCGGATCAATTTTTAACGTGGAGCTCCTTTGAAATGATATGAACGAGTGGCTCTTCTAAAAGTTAGTTGGAGTCCTAACCAGAGAATTACACTTGTGATAACTAACCGTGTTTTGACTTCTTCAAGAGTTGAAATCCAACAATCAAATCAAATGTATCCGGATTCATGATATTAAATGCATACTAAATGAATATCAGCTTTTTAGATCATTAAATTTCAGGATTCATGCACAGATCCAAAAAGTAACATTCTTCAGACGCACATTTAACATCATGGACCGTTCTTACTAAATATTTTCTGGAAATCGTATACCGCTGTTCTTTGATTGTGATGTTGGATTTCGTCAAGGTGTGGCTTGCGTCGCAATCGGCGTTATGGGACACGGTGTGGATTATCAAATAAGCTACATGTGTCAAACAAATTCTACCCCTATCTCTATCACTGTCGATCTTCATCCCTAAAATGTGCTTCGCTTCACCCAAATCGTTCATTTCGAACTCTTTTGAAACTTGTATCTTCAACTCGTCTATAGTGGATCTGGAAATAGAAGCAACCAACATGTCATTGACATAAAGTAACAAATAAATGTACGCACCTTCTCGCAACTTGCGATAGTACGCGCAAGAATCAAACTGGCTCCTAATGTACAAATGACCGAGCATAAATCCATCGAATCGCTTATACCACTGTCGCGGAGATTGCTTTAATCTGTATAGCGATTTCTTTAGCCTACAAACCAATTTATCATTCATTGCAGCTCGAGACCCCAATGACTAAGTCATATAGATTTCCTCATCAAGATCACCATGAAGAAATATCGTTTTCATATCCAGTTGATCAAATTCTAAATCATATTGTGCCACCAAAACTAGCAAGATCAGAATTGAAGAGTGCTTCACCACCGAAGAAAAGACCTCATTGTAATTAATGTCTTCTTCCTGTGCATAGCCCTTCGCTACTAACCTAGCTTTGAACCTCCCCGGAGTGCCTTCAATGCCCTCCTTCTTCATATACACTTATTTGCAACCAATAGCCTTCCGCCCCTTTGGAAGCTCAACAAGCTCCCATGTGTCGTTCTTCTGAAAAGATTTCATCTCCTCCCGTATAGCTTCCTGCTACAAATCAGCCTCTGAACTCTGCTCAGCCTCTCTGAATGTAGTAAGAACTATCTCATTGACACTCTCCACCGGAAGTGCATAAGCAATGACTATATTCGTATACCTAGCTGGCAACTGTATGTCTCTCCTAGGTCTCCGAACCGCAATCGAATCCTGAACCTAAGTCGTTGGTCCCTGATTCTGCTCTGTTGAACCTATATCCTCCAAATCATCGCTTTGCTCGCCTACCGTCACCTCAATCGGCACTCTAATGGATACGGTCCCATCTGGACAATGTGAAGCTGGATCAATCTCCACCACCTACGATGTCTCCAATATCGGGGTGCTCTCCACCTGACGAGAGATGAGAAGCTTCATTATTATTATTATTATTATTATTATTATTATTATTATTATTATTATTATTATTATTATTATTATTATTATTATTATTATTATTATTATTATTATTATATTTTATTTTATTTTAGTTAAAGTAAAAAAAAGAAAACCAAAAGGAATTAAACATGTGATGATGACAAGCGGGCAACAAGCTGCGCCGGTAATCCTTTCTGAATTGCAAAACCCAACCTACGAAACACGTACTCAGCGGACCCTGCTGTCGCCACATTCTTATTCATGAATTTCTGTACCCTCCTGAGGAACTCCGCTACATCAGCTGCAAGGAAACCAAACGTATCGAAAGCGAACAGGATGAAGCTGTGGTAGTTGTCCTTACAAGCTTGATCATGTTTGCC